GGCAGGAACTGGCCACACGCCTGGCTACCAGGAGAGCATGGGAACAAGGGAGAATTGTGCCCTTTGCCACCCACCTCCCACCATGTCTGTAGTGACAGGCGCTCGCAAAAGCCCCAGATGATCGAGCCTGCTCCACACTAGCCCACAGCTCATCCATTTTACTTCTCTCTTGCTTCAGTTCCTCTTCCAGTCAGTACTCACTTTGCCTCTCTGTGCCCTGTCCTCTGATGCTCAGGGTTCCAGGGTCACCACCTTTGTCTGGTTCACTCGGTCTCCCGTGCCCTTGTAGGCCAGGGTTGGCTCAGTGCATCTGTCTAGTCTGCCGTTCTTGCCCCTGCCTTAAAGAAATTAACATTGCCACTCCTCGTTTTTTCGTTGCTGTTAGCTAGATTTTTTTTTTCTTTTTTCTATCCTTTGATTTTTAGTTTGTAAAGTGTGTTGTCGGCAGCATATTGAAGGATACTGTTTTCTTATCCATCCTAGTGTTCTGTGTCTGGACTGGTGCGTTGACCACTGACGTTCACTGTCGTTGTTGGGAGGTATGAACTGACTGCTGTCATTCTGCTGTGTTGTGCTCTTGTGCTGCACAGCATCTTCTGCACTGAGTTCCTTCTGTTTGTGGGCTTTCTTTTCCTTTTATTAGTTTCTGTTGAGTTAACATGTACTAAATCTTTCTGATTTTCCTCTCTTTATTTTGATGTGAAGGTGTATTAATTTTCTTTGAGGTTACCCTGTAATTTATTAGTAATTTACATGTGTGGTGTTCTTGATGTCTTTCCACAACTCTTGGTTTTTGGTCATTAGTGTCTGAAGCATCAATTCTGTGTTTGAGATGGTCTCAAAATTCAGGTGGGATATATTCAAGGTTATGTTTTGGCTCTCGTGGACATGGTTCAATTTTCTTCAGCTTCATCTGGGTCTTGCATATGAGCACTGGTGGTGTGTTCGCCATTCGGCCCCTGGCCTTGATTTGGCTGATGATATGAAGCTTCTCCACCATCTTTTTTCTCACAGATGGAGTCAGTTTGATTCCTGTATGGTCCATCTGGTAAGGGCCGTGTGTATGGTGGCCTTTTATGTTGTAGAAAGAAGGCAGTTGCCATATTCTATCATGCCGTCTCCAGCATCATTTTTATCACCAAGACCATGTTTTCCAAGTGTTCCATTGGTCAAGATGTCAGTTATTGTACCAGTACCAGTATGTTTTCATTGCCATAGCTTGTAATTTGTTTTAAAATCAGGAAGTGTGAGTTCTACTTTATTCTTGCCCAAACATAAAATTTGAGGGATGTGGTCTTTTCTGTTTCTGCAAACAAGGGTGTTGAAAGTTGATGACAATTTCATGACAGTTGTAGGTTGCTTTGGGTAGTATTGAAATCTTAACTGTATTAAGCCTTCTAGTCCATGATCACAGAATGTCTGTTTATTTAGGTGTCTTAAGTTTCTTTTGGTAGGGTTTTATAGTTTATGCGTACAAACAAGTCTTTTGCTTCCTTGGTTAAATTTATTCCTAGACAATTTATGTTTTTAGGTGCTATTGTAAGTAGAATTATTTCTTAAATTTCTTTTTCAGATTGCTCACAGCTGATGTATAGAAATGCAACTGATTTTTGTGTGTGTGTTGTACCCTAACACTTGCTGAATTTGTTGGTTCGTTTTAATACAAGAGGACTTATAAAAGTTTGTGGGAAAATGGAATTGAGAGACAATGGCCTTTTTTTTTTTTGGAAGTTGTCAAGGATTTCAGTGTACTTGGATACACAATCAGCACTCCTGGAAGGAGCAGTCAAGAAATCACATGATGTATTGCATTAGGCAAATGTGCTACAAAGGACCTCTTAAAAGTGTTAAAGAACAAACAGGTCACTTTAAGGGGCAAGGTGCACATGACCCTATCCATGGTATTTTCAGTCACCTCATATGCTTTTGAAAACTGTGTACTGAATATATATACATTGGGGAAAAAAAAAAAAGAGGTGATATGAATATTTAAATTTGCATGTTTTTGACTTCACCTCTTTGTTTTTTTGTTTTGTTTTTAATTTAAGGTTTTTATTGTGGATTGAGTGAAAGTTTACAGGGTAGATCATCAGTTTCACATTCAACCGTTCATATTACTTGTTTCATTACATTGATTATAATCCCATCCATATACAATGAGTTGAAAGTATTTCTCTCTATCCACTTTAGCTTTTTAAAAAACACACAAACAAAAAAACCCACTCAGGCATATATAATAATTTACATCTCCAAAGGGCACATTCTGCAAGCCTGCCTCCTGGCCACCAGTTCTTAGTCCTTCTCTTCTTAGTTGATGAGACAATGGACTTTTTACATGAACTTTTGGAAGCGCCTTTCAAGCTTTCCTGTGGAATCTTTAGTGTCATTTGTGCAGAAGGAAGGACGTCCTCCTTCCCAGTTTGGATACCTCTGAATTATTTTCCTGGCCTCATTGCTCTGATGAGGACTTCCAGACTAATGGGGCTCACAGTGGTAAGTGGTCATCCCTCCCTCGTTCCTGATCTTCGTGGGAAAGCTCTCAGTCTTCCTCCTCGAGTCTGATACTAGCTGTGGGTTTCTCACAAATGTCTTTTGTTAGACTAAAGAGTTACCTGTCTTATTGAGTGTTTCCATGACAGGATGTTGATTTCTGTCAGACGCCTTTTCAGCATTGACTGAAATAATCATGTGGTTCTCTCATTGGAAGATCTTGGTGTTTCATAGGGTTTCCTCTGGCTGATTGCCATCTTTTGGTTAGGAGGTGAGTACCATCACCTCTTGCACCACCCAAGGACTCCTGAGATGCAGCACTCCTGGTTTGAGTGTTGGCTATGTGTCTGGTGTGTTTGGCTCTCACTGTTGGGGCTACAAGCCCCACCCTGTACTGCCATGCCGCCCTCCTCTTCCCAGCCCTGTGAGAGGGAGGTGCCTCGGCATCTGTCACTGGGGACACAGGTCTTAGTCAGAAGGATGTGGCTTTACTGGTTACTGGATGTGCAGACAGGGTTCCGGACCTCTGTGCTTGTTTGCTCATCTATGAAATGGGATCATAAGAACGCCACAGGATTGCCTCTGGGAGGCGTGTTGCCTGCAGGCTCTTGTTAGACGGTTGTAGTTGATCATCCTCAACCCATCATTACGAATGGAGCGATCAGCATCTAGACCCAGGAAGAAGTTAGGCCTGGGGGAGGCTGTGCTGGTCTGCAGAGGCCAGAGGCCAGGTAGATGTGAGAACCAGTCAGAGGAACCCCTGGCGCCAGCTCATGGAGTCTCTGAAACAGGAGAGGTCAGAACTGGTTGCTCAAGTTCTCCTGGAACTTGAGTGGTGAGCCCATCCCCCACCCCTTTCCGTAGCTGAGGGAACCAGGGACACCCAGGGCGTATGTGGGAGCCAGAGCTGGTGACCTGGAAGGCCATCTCCTAGCCAGTGGGGTGGGCGAGAGGCTGTGCATGTCAATGAGCTGAGGCGACAATGGGCACTGTGTGCCGAAGGAGGTCAGCCTGGCTATGTAGGGGAGACGGGCAGGCTGTGCTGCTCATCTGAGGGGACCACTTCTCTGGGGTTCTGTCAGACCAGAGGTCATCTTCTAGAAATACTTATTTCCCTGATCTGTCCAAATGCTCCGTGGCTTTGTCATGGGCTGCCTCTCAGAAGTAGTGAGGAAAAAGTTCTTCCAAAACCTGGCTTTGCTTCAAAACCAGCCGCTATCAAGTCAACTCAGACTCATGGCGCCCCCATGTGTGTCAGAGTAGAACTGTGCTCACAGGGTTCTCAGTGGATGATGTTTCATAAGTAGATCTCACTCATGGTGCCCCATGTGTGTCAGAGTAGAACTGTGCTCCACAGGGTTCTCAGTGGATGTTTTTTTTCTTTTCTTTTACCTTTTGACTGAATTGAATGGTTTACAGAGCACATCATCAGTTTTACGTTCAACAGCTCATATTTCATTTCTTCTGATTGATTTGCAATCCCCTGAATGTAACATCACTCGTCCCACTTCCTCCCTGTGCTTCCTGTTTCCATTCCTCCTGCTTTCCTCAACCTTCTGAACTTTGTCCTGGGGTACATGCTGCCCTTCTGACCGTTTTATGGTATGTGTACCTCCTTAAAGTTGCTATCATCCCATATACTTAGTTATGGCTTGGTTGAAACTGAACTACAGGGTGAGCTCCTTTACAGATCCAGTCTCTGAGCAGTAAGCCTGGTCTTCTGTGATTTTGAGTTTTGTTCCACATTTTCTTCCACTCAATCCAGGATCTTCTAATGCAATGCCTTTCAGAGCAGTTGCTCGAGCGTGGCAGCTGAGCACCATCTAGTTTTGACCTCAAGGTCTGATGTTCACATGATCCATTAGTCCAGTGGAGTGTTATCAGGGGACTTGAATTTCCCTCACTCTGCCTTCTGCCAGACAGGGAGAGACCAGTAGTTGTACCTCAGATGGCCACTAATGAATTTTAAGACCCCATTCGCTACCCACCGAAGTCGGATGTAGAATGTTGTCTTTGTGAATTGTGTTATGACCGTGATGCCCCTCTAGTCCTGATGCCCCGGGCACAACAGCTCATTCCCTCAAGGTTTTTGGTTTTGTTTACCAGTTTTGATTACTTTCTGCCCTGTGTTCCATCACATTCACAGGTATATTTGCAGCAAAGGTAAACCGCCATGCGCAGATAGCCTCTGTCCAGGTTCATAGATTTGTGGGTACACGCCCAGTCTCTCGTCCACACCCATAGTGGTGGATTTTCTGTCAGCAGGCCACCTGGCCTTTCTTTGGACATACCTCAAACCTTGAGTGTTTCAGTTAGTGACCGAGTGAGGTAACCACCGACATCCCCGGGGGGCTCCTGACTTGCTTAGGCTGAGAGAGCTCCTCCTCCCTTCATCTCCACACTTGCCTCCCTGGTGCAAGCCCTCTGAGTGTGTTCCTTTCCCCTTGGCGTCTTTCCTGAGAGAGCTGCCTCGGCTGTTGCTGACCACAGCCTCCTTTGTGTCCCTGCAGGCCATTAGTATCAGCAAAGCCATCAATACCCAGGAGGCACCTGTGAAGGAGAAGCATGCCCGGCGTATCCTTCCTGCTGTCCTGGGAGGTGGGATGGAGGGCCTCCACTGCTCTGAGGCTCAGGTCAGGGACAGATGGCCTTCCTCTGAGAGCCTCGCTCCAGCAGCTCACCACCACCTTGCAGCAAGCTCTGGAAAAAACCAAACCAAACTCCCTGCTGTTGAGTGGGTTGTGACTCGCGGCAACCGTCTAGAACAGAGCAGAGCTGCCCCATCGGGCTTCCTAGGCTGTAAATCATCACAGAGGCAGAGTGCTGCGTCTTTCTTGGGAGGAGCAGCTGGTGGGGTCAAACCAATGACCTTTTAGTTAGTAGTGCTATGCTTAACACACTGCACCACCAGAGCGCTTCCCATTGTCTCGGCCTTGGTTAAACTTAGGACCTTGTCCGTTTTCTGGTGCTGAGCCCCAGTCCTTTGGTGAAGGTCAGAGTCTCTGGTGAGGGCTGACCTGAAGGTGAACCCTGAGGAACTGGACCCGGCACGGGCTCCCCATGTGCTCCTTGGGTCACCTAGCACCCCTCCCCTGCCCAACTTACTGGCCTGTACCGGCTCTGTGGTCCTTGACCCGGCAGGCATCATCCTGGGCACACACCACGAGAAGGGAGCCTTCACCTTCTGGTCGTATGCCATCGGCCTGCCTCTTCCCAGCAGCTCCATCCTCAGCTGGAAGCTCTGCCATGTGCTCCACAAGATCCTTCGAGACGGGCATCCCAATGTGAGGGGAGGTGCCCCTGTGACACGAGGGAGGGCATCCAGGGCAGGGCAGCACCCCACTGAGTGGAGCTCCTCCATCCCCCTGGCCCTATGTCCACAGTCCTGGCAGGAGTCAGGGTTCCTGACCACCCCTCTTCCCATAACCCCCATGCCACAGGTCCTGCATGACTTCCAGCGGTACCGAAGCAACATCCGGGAGATTGGGGATCTGTGGGTAGGTGCTCAATGGGAGTGGGTGTTGGGGCCTGGGCTCCAGGCAAGGCCGGAGGTCATGGATGTCCAACCAGGAACGCTGGGGAGTGAGTCTCCTTCCTCTCAGGGAATCTGATGTGGGGTGACAGTCAGGGGGCTAGGGGGACAGCCTTGGGGTGAGTTAGGGCAATGGAGTTCCAAATGCAGTCCCGCTGGGCCTCAATTGTCAGAAATATCCTGAGCCTGGGTTCCTAGAGGCGGTCAGTGGCCCAGGCCAGGCGACAGACGCTGTGTGGACTTACTTGTGATTGGACACTGGCATTTTTTAACACACATCTGGCTGACTCTGACACACAGTAACATTTTCAAGCCTGGGGACCCTGTACTATAGATTCTTCCAGACTATTCAGGCCCTAGAGGGACAGAGAAGGATGTGCTGTGGATAGGGTTGGGGACTGGGCCAGGACGTGAGCACCAGGACAGAACTGGAAATGAGAACAGCGTTCACAGAGCCCTTTGCAGCCACCAGTCCTGCCTCCAGGGACGCAGACAGACAGGTGTCAGGGGAGGTAGCCGGGAGGATGCGGCATGCTGTTGGAATGTGCCTTCCGTCTGCCCGGTTGTAAAACGTCCCAACTCATGTTGGCTGCTGCCCGGGGACAGTCTCTTCTTGCCAGTTTCCTTGGCAAGAATGACAAGGAGGGAAAGTAAGAAGGCAGTGCTAGAAATCACCCCCACCAACAGGTGGGTGGAGTGCAGACCGGACGCCGCTGTGTCGGCAGAGACACGTGACAGAGGACCCTAATATGGAGGTACCAACAGTTAAACACTCAAATACTAGCCTAAAGGTTGGTGGTTCAAACCCACTGAGAGGCACCCTGGAAGGCACACCTGGCAATCTGTTTCTGAAGGGTCAGGGCCTTGAGACCCCCGTGGAGCAGTTCTGCTCCACACGCATTGGATCAGCAGGAGTCCCAATGCCCTTGATGGCAACGGAGTTTGGATTTTCGGTTTTGTGGGTCAGTTATGTAAGGGACATGGCAGAACTAGTTGAGTGGTCAGACCAGGAAGGTAAAATACCATGGCTGATATGCTAAGGGCTCTAGTGGGCAGAATTTATATGGACAGACGGGTGATGTGGGCAGAGCAGGACTGCAGAGCTCCATCAGGGCCATGGGGAGTGAGGACCGAGGGCCAGAGGCGAGCTAGAAACTTCCACCGGCTTGAGCAGCAGTTGGTGAGTGAGTGAGTGAGTGAGTGAGTGAGTGAGTGAGTGAGTGAGTGAATGAGCAGGTGAAGGAGTGAGACTCCACTACCCTAAAGCTCTGAATCACCTGCCTGTTTGCAGGGACATCTACACGACCGGTACGGACAGCTGGTGAATGTTTACACCAAGCTCCTGCTCACCAAAATCTCCTTCCACCTCAAGGTAGTCCCTGTGGGCCCACTGGGCCTTCAAAGACTCGGGCTGTTCCTTCTGAGGCCCCTGGGGACATGTTGGCATGTAGCAGGGGGCAGGATCTGTTCTGTCCCCCAGAAACTGCACCTGCACCTCCCCCAAATGCCCTAGAGGGCAGCAGGACCCAGGATAGTGGGACCCTCAGGGAATACCTGGTGCTGCTGTCCCGCTGACTTTGGGGTTGATCCGGGCCCAGCTCTAGGGGGCTGCCTGAGTGGGTGGGCATTTTCTCCACAGCACCCCCAGTTTCCTGCAGGTCTAGAGGTGACGGATGAGGTGCTGGAGAAGGCGGCAGGGACTGATGTCAACAACATGTGAGTCACATGGGCGGGTCACCAGAGCTGATTGCCCCTGGCGTCTGCACCCCACCTTCCTCATTTTCCCTGTTTGCCCAGCGTTTCACATGCATACACCATCCACATTCATACCAGGTGGGGCTGTCTGTGGATGAGGGAGTCACACCCTGAAGGAGCCTTAGCCCAACGGGCTTATTTGGAAGCCGGCTCTGTGGGTAAAGGGGGTGCTGCCCCCCTTGGGGCTCTCAGTTGCCAGTGGGTTTGCACTCAGCCCTGACTTCCCCCCAATCCCCACAGCTTCCAGCTCACCGTGGAGATGTTCGACTACATGGATTGTGAGCTGAAGCTCTCCGAGTCAGGTGAGGTGGGCCTGCCCACACGCGTCACGTCATGTGCCCAAATGCACCTGCCCCTCGGGGTCCCTCTGGGAATGCACAGAGCAGAGGCCCCCTGAGATTGCTTTGGCAGGTCTCAGCCATTCCATTAAAAGTTCAGCCCACCGTACTTCCTACACAGGGTGTGGGTGATCGGGGAACCCTGCTGGCACATCCACAGGGAGGTGGTTGGGCTTCCTGAATAAACCCCAAGTCATGCTGGCCTTCCTGCCAGAAGCCGGCTGTCTGTTGACAGGAAACCTTGCCACCACTCCCCTCCCACCCACCTCCAGCACTGAGGTCTGGGTCTGGGGAGGTGACTTTTGGGTGGCAGCTTCACAACAGTGTGTTGGTGATTCAGTTCACCCAGGAGGGAAGTGTTTTAAGGGAGTGTCTCCCAGAGTTAGAGGGAAGCAGCGGTGGCCCTAAGTGCTGCCCTGTGCCCCCGATCTTGACTTGGGCCTGGCCGAGGGGAGGCCGGGAGCTGCAGCCTCTGACACAGGGTGTGTTCCTTAGCTCTGTGGGGGACCAAGAGCCCCCAGACTGAGAGCAGAGCCTTCCACCCAACCTGGGGGCCTCCCAGCCTGTATGGAAATGAAGGGCAGGAGAATCCACTGGCAGAGCCAAACTCCTGGTATAGAAATAGCTGTGTCCAGCTCTGCCTCAACTAGGGAATGGAGGGAGAAGTGTCCAAATGGACTGACAGGGAAAGATCTAGAAAACACCCCTGAAGCAGATGGCAGACTAGTATGCACACATGAGGGTTGAAAACACATCGGTGCCCTGGAAACCACGTGTGTGCAGACTAGAACTGCGCCCTAGGGTTCCCATGGCACCTCTAGGTGGGTTTGAACTGCCAAATAGTCATTTACTGGTCGAGTGGTTGATGTTTCAAAAGGAGGGAAGAGTTTAAGGTCGCCCTGTCCTGAAAGGTTTGATGACTTGGAGGAGTGGCGGGTGGGCCCTGCGGGTGGTGAGTCAGTCTTATTATATTAGTACCAGGGTGGGGGTGCCTGGCTGACTGCTTGCTCTTTGTCATCTCTGTTGGCCCAGAGAAGAGGCGGCAGCCAGGAGGCAGCACCGTGTTTGTCCATTTGTCTCCCACTTGGGGCTTCTAGTCAAAGGCCTGATTGTCCCAAGCCGGGGAGACTGGCCCAGCCTAACACTCTGTGTGTCTGTGGGGCATGTGCTCTCCTCCTCTAGTCTGGGCCCAGCTCCGGGCGGTGACTGAGCTGTCCGGACCTGTGTCCCCAGTTCTGCCCACAGCCCACTGGCTTATGCCCGCTCCCTCCTCCTGCTTCTCCCGGCAGTTTTTCGGCAGCTCAACACTGCCATCGCCGTGTCCCAGATGTCGTCGGGTCAGTGCCGCCTGGCCCCGCTCATCCAGGTCATCCAGGACTGCAGCCCCCTCTACCACTACACGGTCAAGCTCCTGTTCAAGCTGCACGCCTGTGAGTCCAAGATCTTACACTAGCAAACTGGGAACGGGGTTAAATACTGTATCTCAGTTCAAACTCACCAGCTGCTCCTGGAAAACCCTAGACAGGGTTGCTATGGGTCGGAACGGACAACAACCACATGCATTCATTATAAAAGAGCAATCACATGGTTCTTACCTAATAAATAATGGCATTCTCCAAACAAAAAGTAGACTAGCAGAAAATATGAACCTTGTTTTGAATTTTTGCACATCTCTAAATTTCTGGCCAGTGCGTGTTAGATCCTGGGTGTGATGACTCCATGCTCTTTAAATGGACATGTGCGGACCACACCAAGCACCACTGGCCCACGAGTATGGACTGAGCGTGTCAGCCACGGTCCTGAGAGCATCACAATGTGTCCAGAGCCAAGGCTGGTGGGGGAGAGGGGTTCATGTGGCTCGAGTTCTGTCCATCTCAGCTTATTTGAGGGCTGTGCCCCTGTTGCACGGCATCTCCCTTCCCGGGGGCTGGTGACAGAGCGGGATGGGTGTGTCTCCAGGTCTCCCAGCTGACACCCTACAAGGCCACCGGGACCGCTTCCACGAGCAGTTCCACAGGTGCGTGGTGCAGGTGGGGCATGGGGGCACCTGTGAGAGCCAGCAGCTCCCTGGTGACCCTGACTTCCTACAGCCTCAGAAACTTCTTCCGCCGAGCCTCGGACATGCTCTATTTCAAGCGGCTCATCCAGATCCCACGGCTACCGGAGGTACCTGCCACCTTTGTCCCTGGGACCTTCCCCACATGCCCACCTGCCTCCCTGCCCTGGTCTGAGGGGTCTCCAAGGAGTCTGGGCTGGCAGGTGAGCATCTTCCACCTGGCAGGGACCTCCCAACTTCCTGCGGGCCTCAGCGCTGGCGGAGCACATCAAGCCTGTGGTGGTGATCCCTGAGGAGGCCCCCGAAGACGAGGAACCTGAGAACCTGATTGAGATCAGTACGGGCCCCCCTGCCCAGGAGCCCACGGTGAGCAGGACTCTGCGCTCCCACTCCTGGGCCTGGACACAGGGGCATTGGGCCTTCATTGAATCTGGGTTTTGGCAGGTGGTGGCTGACCTCTTTGATCAGACGTTTGGACCCCCCAATGGCTCTGTGAAGGATGACAGGTGGGGCCTGGTGGGCAGTGACCACTTTGGGGACCTCAGCAGCTCTATGCAGGATGTGGGGTCGGGCCGGGGTTCATAGGGTGGGGTGACCACTGAGCTGTTGTCAGGACGTTTCTGTCTGGAAAGACCATGGATGGAATGTGGACTCAGGAAAGGCACCATGCCCAGTGTCCACCATAATCTGAGACAGCCTAGCTGGGTCCTGTGTGGGCTCCAACAGTCCACCCGCCTCGCCTCTGTCCCCAGGGACCTGCAGATCGAGAACTTGAAGCGGGAAGTGGAGATGCTCCGCACTGAGCTCGAGAAGATCAAGCTGGAGGTGAGGGTGGGCTGGGACTCCTGGGGCCCACGGGGCGATGCCCACCCAGCAAGCCCACAGCCTCGTTCCTGTGGCCTCAGGCGCAGCGGTACATCGCGCAGCTGAAGGGCCAGGCGAACACGCTGGAGGCAGAGTTGGAGGAGCAGCGGAAGCAGAAACAGAAGGCCCTAGTGGACAACGAGCAGCTCCGGGACGAGCTGGCCCAGCTGAGGGCCGCCCGGCTGCAGGGCGAGCACAACCATTTGCTGCGCGAGGAGGCTGAAAGTGCGTGGGGCCCCGGGCGTGTCCCCAGGGTCCGGCCGTGCCCACCGACCCAAGTCACAGTCCTGTCCTCTCCCCTCAGAGAAGGCCAGCGCCACAGAGGCACGCTACAACAAGCTGAAGGGAAAGCACAGTGAGCTCATCAACACCCACGCAGAGCTGCTCAGGAAGGTAGGGCTGCTGCCCTGGTGACCACCCCACCTGGGACACTGAGGCAGAGCATGGGAGATCAACCTGTCCCCTTACCTGTCCCCAGAACGCAGACACGGCCAAGCAGCTGACAGTGACGCAGCAGAGCCAGGAGGAGGTGGCAAGAGTGAAGGAGCAGCTGGCCTTCCAGATGGAGCAGGCGCGGCGGGAGTCCGACATGAAGGTGTGTCGTATGCAGACCCTGGCCCCTGGGTGCCCAGCCCCACTGCCCACTAACATGCGGTCTCTCTCAGCTGGAGGAGCAGGGTGACCAGCTGGAGAAGCTGACGAGGGCGCTGGAGGTCAAGGCCGGGGAGCTGGTGCGCGTGCAGGAGGCCCTGAACCGAACAGAGCAGGTACCAACGGAAGAGTTGGCGTCATCTTCCTGCACGCTGCGCTGTAACAATGCCTGAGGACCATCTGAGCTCCGTGGCATTGTGATGGACCAGTGTGGGGGGTGAAGGGATGGGTAGGCTTGGGAAGGCCCCCTCATGCTCCGTGTCCACAGAGCGGCTCGGAGCTGAGCGCACAGCTGGCCACATTAAGTGCAGAAAAGGACGCGCTGAGCAGCACCGTGCGGCAGCGAGACGCCGAGCTGTTGGCTGCCCAGGACTTGGTGCGCGAGAAGGAGGCAGCCTTGAGCCAGGAGCAGCAGCGAGCCTCCCTCGAGAGGGGCCAACTGCAGGGCCAGCTGGCCCAAAAGGTAAGGGCCTGTGGTTTCCTTGTGGTGGCTTTACTTTGAGGTCAGTCACCCCACAGACAGTTCAGGCTGAGAGGGAGCACAGAGGTGCGGATTTGCCTGTTCTCGACATTTCATGAATGTGGAATCACAGTCGGCGGCCTTTTAGGGCTGGCTTCTTCTCGCAGCATGTCTGTGAAGTTTGTCCAGGTTGTGGAGTGTCAGAACCTTAGTCCTTTTTTGGGGCTGAATACTAGTCTGTGAGTGTTATTTCAGTCCTTGGGGTTCAGTATACAAGGGGCTTCAGAAAGTTTGTGGAAAAATTCCATTATCATTTGATCGCATTTTTCCCTGAACTTTTTGAAACTCCCTGTACCTAGTTTATTCCCACCAGCAGGGAGGAGGAGGGTTCGTGTTTCTCCATCTCCTTGTTCACAAGTTTATCTTCCTGACCTTTGGTCCATACGGTGATTTCCTAGCTAACCTTGTTGGAGCGGTCTGGTTCCTCTGAAATTCTGGCCACTTGGGGGCAGTGGATCACTTGGCATCTGCTGGAATTGTCTCTTGTGGCTGGAGATACACATAGAAAACCAGACCCAGCTACTGTCAGGTCGACTTTGACTCAGGGCCATACCGTGGGTGCTGGAGTGGAACTGGGCTTCATCGGTTCGCTTTTATTGTGGTGAAAATACACAAAGCATACGACATCTCAGCAATGCCTAAATGTACAATTGAATGACGCTAGTTTCATTCTTCGTGCTATGTAAACTATCACCACTGTCCGTTTCCAAATTCTTCCACCACCACCAGCAACCTCGGTGAACCTGTCATCTTCTCATAAAACACGTGGCTTCTTTCCACTTGGGGCTGCTGTGAACACTATTAGGAGGGGATTTCTGGGCTGAGTGGACTGTCACACACACAGCACTGTCCTGTGTCCATGTGCACAGCCCTCCCAGAGAAGCGGGCTGGTCTCACGGCCTGTGCACTGCGCATCTTGCTCGTGTGTTCAGGGGCCTGTGTTTCACTTGGGGTCTTTATATATTTTGGGGTCTTTATATATTTTGGATCCACTGTTGAGGGGACAGATGTGTCTAACCTGGCTCCATCTCTGCCAGGAGTCTGCGGAGCAGGGGTTACAGCAGCGGCTCCTGGACGAGCAGTGGGCGGTGCTCCGCACTGCAGCGGCTGAGGCCGAGAGCATCCTGCGGGACGCTGTGGGCAAGCTGGACGACCCCCTACACCTGCGCTGCACCAGCTCCCCAGGTAGGATGGCTGTGGTGGTGCCTTGGGCCTTTCTCTAGCCCACCTGCTCCGCTTTCCTGCCCCTCACCGGCCCTCGTGTTTGCAGATTACCTGGTGAGCCGCGCCCAGGCTGCCCTGGACACCGTGAGCGCCCTGGAGGAGGGTCATGCCCACTACCTGGCCTGCACGTCTGGTGAGTGAGGGGATCACGTCCAGGCTCCTGGAACAGACACAGGTGCACAGCTGTAGCAAATGTGTCTTCTCAGTCAGGAGCTGCTCCCTGCAGCTCCAGGGAACATCTTTGTGTCTCTCCGCTTCTCTCCTTGGGTCCTGGGAATCTGTAAGTCCGTCCCTGTTTCCTCCATCCATGATTGCTTCTGCGCCAAATCTGTCTCACTAGCTTGAGAGAGACTGGGCTCAGACACACCTGTGTCATAGAGGAAACCTATTCCCAGACAGAGGGGTTCTCATCTAAAAGACAGAGGCTGGGCACATGACTTAATCTGTAACACCTGGGTAGCAGATAACCTTGTCAGTAAACTGAGCGGGTCACAATCACACACTTTGTATAAATAGGCTGTCCCAGGGCAGTGAACCTGGGGAGCCGAGAGACTCACTGATGTCCACCCTGTCCCCAAACACAGACGCCTCTGCCCTGGTGGCTGCCCTGACCCGGTTCTCCCATCTGGCTGCGGACACCATCATCAATGGCAGTGCTACCTCGCACCTGGCCCCCACAGACCATGCTGACCGTGAGTAGCCCCTGCGGTTTTACATGAGGTGCAGCTGGGCAGGGTCCTGGGAGGGGACCCCTCTATTCACGGCCCTCTTCCCTCAGGGCTGGTGGACACGTGCAGGGAGTGTGGGGCCCGTGGCCTGGAACTCCTGGGGCAGCTGCAGGACCGGCAGAGCCTGCTCAGGGCCCAGCCCAGCCTAGTGCGGACCCCCCTGCAAAGCCTTCTGCAGCTGGGCCAGGTGAGTGAGCTGGACCACATGGAGCCCAGGGAGGGAGTCTAGGGCAGGGCTGACCCCGTCTCCTCTCCCAGGAGCTGAAGCCCAAGAGCCTGGACGTGCGTCAGGAGGAGCTTGGCGCCGTAGTGGACAAGGAGATGGCGGCCACATCGGCGGCGATTGAGGACGCAGTGCGGAGGATAGAGGTGAGGAGGCTCTACCCCTTCCTTTACCTGCCCTCAGGGCCAGGGAGCCTGGCCCTGCTCACACTCCACTCTTGGGTCTAGGACATGATGAACCAAGCCCGGCATGCGAGCTCCGGGGTGAAACTGGAGGTCAACGAGAGGTAAGCCACTCTGCCCACACCTTCCACAACAGGGGCCTGGGGACCCCCCCTCCCCTCCCCGCACTGGTGGAGGGCTGGGGTCCACTGTGACTGCCCCTCACCTCCTGCTCCTTCCCAGGATTCTCAAGTCCTGCACAGAACTGATGAAGGTGAGTGGTGGGTTTTATGCCCAGGGGTGGGGTGACGCTCAGGTGATGCTCAGGTGACCTGCGTGCTGTGCTCCCTGTAGGCCATCCGACTCCTGGTGACAACAGCCACGAGGCTGCAGGAGGAGATTGTGGAGAGCGGCAGGGTGAGTGCCGGGGGCTCAGGGAGAGACCCCCCTCCCCACCTACTGCAAGGCTGTGCCTGGACATGCCCTCCCTCTACACGAGGGCCGGTGGGGCCGTTTCTGTGTGGGCCCCTTGAGCTGGTCTGCCCACCATGTCCTCCTGTCACCACTAGGGAGCAGCCACGCAGCAGGAATTTTATGCCAAGAACTCAAGGTGGACAGAGGGCCTCATTTCCGCTTCCAAGGCCGTGGGCTGGGGAGCCACGCAGCTGGTGTGAGTGTCCCGGGGTGGAGGTGGTAGGGGGGCTGTGTGGTGGGGAGAGGCTCCTGACAGGCCCCCGGCCCCCACCCAGGGAGTCAGCTGACAAGGTGGTGCTGCACACGGGCAAGTATGAGGAGCTCATCGTCTGTTCGCACGAGATCGCGGCCAGCACTGCCCAGCTGGTGGCCGCTTCCAAGGTAAGAAGAGCTGGGGTGGAGGTGCGGGGCCGGGGAAGGCCTGTGGGCCCCTTGATCAGCCTCTCCTGGTCGCCCCCAGGTGAAGGCCGACAAGCACAGTTGGCACCTGAGTCACCTGCAGGACTGTTCCCGCACCGTCAACGAGATGGCTGCCAACGTGGTGGCCTCCACTAAGTCAGGCCAAGAGCAAATCGAAGAGAGAGGTGAGTGGCCGGAGCCCAGTGCCGTCCAGCTTGGCCACCTCGGGCCACAGCCAGACCCTTACCTCTTTCGCTCTCTGCTGCAGACACAATGGACTTCTCAGGTCTGTCCCTCATCAAGCTAAAGAAGCAGGAGCTGGAGTCCCAGGTGGGTGTCCGTCCATGGGCCCTGGGGTAGCTAGAGACCCAGGTGGGTGTCCTTGGGCCCTGGGGTGGCTGGGCCGAGGCTGGGGCTGAGCTCAGGGGGGTTGTGGGGCTGCAGGTGCGCGTGCTGGAGCTGGAGAAGACCCTGGAGGCAGAGCGTGTACGGCTCGGGGAGCTGAGGAGGCAGCACTACGCACTGGCCGGTGGTGTCGGGACGCCCTGCGAGGAAGAGCTAGGCCGGCCCAGTGCCGCCCCCCGCACCATGGCCTCCAAGAAGCCACCCCTGGCCCAGAAGCCTAGTGTGGCCCCCAGACAAGACCACCAGGTACTGGCATCAGTGCTGAGGGGGGAGGGGGCCATGAAGGGGGCGGTACACGCCGATCCCTGAATTCCCCCTTTGACCTCAGCAGCTTAACAAAAAGGATGGGATCCACCCGGCTCAACTGTGAACTCCTAGGTGCCCAGCTCTGTCCTCGAGGCCTGAGGAGCCGGCAGGACCGCATCTCTGTTTACCTGCATTAGGGAGCTCCAGAGAGCGGCATGAGCCGCAGCCCTTCAGGAACTACATATGGACCCCTTTCATGTTCCGAGTTGCTTCTCTTCTTTGTAAGCTTCTACTTGGCACAGAGGTACAACGTCATCTCTGTCATTAGCATTCTTGGGACCTGAGCTGAAGAGACAGCGTTTGAGTGAGAGAAGTGCGACAAAGGTCACGTAAAGACAGATGTTTCTCTCACACACTTGGCACGCAAGGAGGCTTCAAAGAATTCATGGAAAAATGAAATTAAAAGAATGAAAAGTTCCCGTAAACTTTTTGAACCTCCCTCGTGTACAAGACCCGTGTGTAGATGATGGCAAGAAGCCCACACTAACCTGAGAGGGGCTGGCAGGGGCAGGCCTCTGGGCACAAGGCCGTCCTGGCGTCCTCCTGAGGTGGCCCCGTTTCCTGAATTTCACTGGCAGATCAGGGTTGCCTGGCACCCACAGGAAATGATCTGGACCTCTGATGTGACCCCTGTATTCTGGGAGCTCACGCTGGCTGCTCTTGTCCTCGTCGTGGTGCTTCCTTCTGTCATGGCGCTGGGTGGTGCTGCATGTGGCTCTCCTCGCCAAACCAGAAGCCAGTTCCCTTCCAACTCAGGGTGAGCCCACAGGTGTCCGAATAGAAATGTGCTCCATAGGGTTTCTCAGAATCAGATCGCCAGACCTTTCTTCTGAGAACCTCTGAGTGGACTTGAGGACCACCAGCCTTTTGGCTAGCATTAAACTATTGCAGCTCTCAAAGACTTTGCATATTAGGGGTCTTCAAAAATTTGTGAAAAGAAGGTTCATTTTCCCACAAACTCTTCAGGCCCTTCCTCCCCGTTCATTGTGATTCCTGAGCACTGTTAAGTCAGCTCTGGGTCCTAGTGATCCTGTACAGTGGGTGGGGGTAGGGGGAGCCAGGGACCTTTGTTTCTGCCAAAATTTCTAACATCATTTGCAGGACATATCATTTTTAAGTTGTTAATTTTGTATTTGGTCAAACATTTAATTAACAAACCCCTAACGTGATGCTGTTGTTAAGTGCCGTGGTGTCAGTTCCGACCCATAGCGAGGAGCTCTGGTAGAGTAGTGGTTACGAATTGGGCTGTGAACCGTAAGGTCAGCGGTTCGAAACTACTAACTGTTCCACGGGAGAAAGATGAGGCTTTCTACTCCCGTAAAGATTTACACCCTCAGAAACCCTGTGCAGGGTCACTAACAACAACAACGTGATGCTTTGGCTAGAACTGCAGTTGCCTTGGCAGGGCCAGGCCAGATGGTTTCGTAGACCCTATGTGGCCCATGGGTCAGGGCCAGAGCCACATGTTTCCCACCTCTGCTGTATGGGCTTTCTGAGGAGTAACTAGTGGGTTTGAACTGCAGACTTTATGGTTCACAGCTCAGTGCTGATCCTACAATACCACACCAGGGGTCCCCCACCCCATTTATCACCAATGGTGATCCACACTCAGCTCTGTAACACCGACAGAAGGCAAAAGGGAGTCACTGCAGACAGAGCCTCCTACCCTGAGGGCTGGAAAACAGCAGAGTTACCACAGACAGGGAGAGGGAGTGGCAAGGTGGCGAGTTCATCTAGGATGGTAAGATGTTAAATACTCATGGTAAACAGAAACTATCCAAAACACACTCTAGGAAGTAAGGGACAAGGAAGGTGTGGTGGAAGTGGTGCACTGGAAGTCGGTTCCGACTCACTGCCACCCTTTCTGTCAGGGCTTCTGATGCTGCAAAACTGAATGGCAGCAGTGCCTAGTGGATTCCACCTGCAGACCCTGCGTTCAGCAGCCCAACCTGTAACCCTCTGTGCTACCAGGGCGTCTTTCAAGAGGAATGTTGGTGTTAAGTGCTCTGTGTAGGGTTTCCAAGGAGCAGGTGATGGGTTTGAACCACTGACATTGTGGCTAGCAGTCCAGTGCTGATCCTACAGCGGCACACCAGGACTGTGTAAGAACATGGTGGTGGTATACCATTGAGTCAGTTCCAACTCCAGGGGTTTCCCGGGGTTGTAAACCTTTACAGGATCCGAAAGCCTCATCCTTCTCCCATGGAGCAGCTGGTAGAACTACTGACCTTGTGGTTTGCAGCCCAGGGTGTAATCCACTTCGCTACCAAGGTTCCTATAAAATGCACACACAGAAAACCCAAAATGGCAGGAATGCTTCCTGATTGATAATTAAGGTGAATAGAAATTGACTCAATGATCTAATCAAAAGGCAGAAAGAATGCATTACAAGACAGGATCTAAACTATGTGATGTTCACAGACACCTTAGGCTCAAGGCACAAACAGGTTGAAAGTGAAAGAAATATTCCATACAAACAGTAACCCATAGAAAGTGGTAATTCTAAACTATCTTAAGAGACAAACATTATACACTGATTCATCAAAAAGATGACACAATTATAAATACAAACACCTGAGATCAGCCCCCAAATTAATAAACCGACAAAACTGAAGGGAGAAATAGCTCTAAAATTACAGGTGGAGACCTCAATGAACTATTTCCATAATAACCACGGCAACCACAAAACCACCGCACAAGAGCCATTCTTCTCCGGTGAAGGAGACTCCTTCTGCTAGCATAGAGAACCCATGCTCATCACAAAGCAAGCGGCAACATACAAAAGACGAAAACGGTACAACCTATTTTCTCCAATCACAAAGGCGTGAAAATAGAAGTAACAAAAATGTTCAAATTTTTGAAAATCAAAACACGCCAACAGTTGTCAAATCAAAGTGGAAACACAATATATCAAAAGTTGAAGGGATACAGCAAAAAGTCTCCTGCCGGCTGGGGGATCTGTAGTGATTTGTAAGTCCCGGGGTGGCGCTGTGGGTTACTGCACTGGACAGCAAAGTAGGTAGTTCAGGGTCACCAGTCACTCCTAGAAAACCCTATACAGGGTCGCAACAGACTTGACAGCACACAACAACACACATTAAAAAGCCAGCAAGTACCCAAACCCAGAGGCTCTAACAAGAAATCACTGGGACTAATGAAAGGGACACCACAAAAATGCAGACTACAAGATCAACACGCAAAAATCCGGTGGGTTCCTCCATGCTAACAAGGAGAACTCTGAGAAAGAAATCAAGAAAACAATACCATTTACAACAGCCCCCAACAGGATAAAATAGGAACAAATCTAACCAGGAATGTAAAAGATGTATACAAGTAAAACTACAAAACACAGCCACACACACACACACATATACATAAATGCAAAACCATAATTATGCTCATGGATTGGATGATATAACATGGTAAAAATGTCAATACTACCCAAACCAGTTTACAGATACAATCTTAATAAAAATCTCAGGCATTCTTTAATGAAATGGAAAAAGTAATCTCCAACTTTACATGGAAAAGAGGCCCCAAATAGCCCCAAGTATTATTGAAGAACAAAGTTGGACTCACAATTCTGAGGTCAGCACTGTATAGGCATGCTACTCAAAACAGCATGGTATTGCTACAACAGACACACCAATATAGGAACACATTTTGGTGGATATTAAGTATCAGAACAACTGAGAATCTAGACATAAATCCATCAACTATGGATGGACCAGTGATCTTCAACAAAGGACCAAAGTGCATTAAATAGGGGCAGTCCCTTTAAGTAAATAGTGCTGGCCTATCTGTAGAATAAACTGGACCCTCACATCTCACACCATGCACAAAACCCAACTCAAAATGGACCAAAGGCCTAAATATAAAACCTAAAACTATAAAGATTATGGAAGAAATATATAGACACAATGTTAGGGGTCCTGACTTATGGCATAAATACACTATCAAACATAATTAAAAATATCCAAACAGCAGAACTAGAGTCCGAAATGAGGGCTCCTAAATTAAATAACGCACATCAAAAGAGTACTTACAGCATGCCAAGCTACCTGACAACAGTGTAAAATCTAAACTACAGAGAAAACTTGAACACCTCAACAACAAAACAGACAATGTACTCAAAAGAGAGGCAAAGGACACGAACAAGCGTCACCAAAGACGCTGAGGTGGCTAACATGAAGAGATGCTTATAATGATTAACCATTTGTTACTGCTAGGTGTCCTATCAGTTCTGACTCATAGCAACCCCACAAGATACCACCTTAACCCTGCAGACACAGCACGATGAAAACATACTGATGAGTTGATGGGGAGCTTAGAATTCTTCGTACACTGCTGATAAGACTGTAAGATGGTACAATCACTATGACTGATGGTATGGCGCTTCCTCAAAAAGCTAAAGAGAAATACCTACGTTCCAGCAATGACCCACAGATATGTATCCACATGTTCATTGCAACATTATCACAATAGCAAAAAAACAAAAAACGGAAATAACCTAAGTGTCCATCAATGAACGAATTAATACAATATGGTGCATATACACACAATGGACTACTGTGCAGTGATGAAGAGCAATACCAAGTCCACAGAGCAGCAAGGATGAGTGAAGTAGCTCAATCACAAACACTAGTGTACAACGCCACTTTTATAAAAGTTAGGAATAGGCTCACACAGCAATGTTTTTTGGCTGTTACCAAGGATGGGAGGGCTAAGGAGAGCTAGGGAGAGCGCTGACACACTGCAGGGATAGAAAGCAGTGTCACTGAAACAATCTGTGTATGGATTGTTGAAAGGGAAACCAATGTGCTGTGTAAATGTGCACCTAAAGCACAATACCCCAAAAAGGAAAGAGACAACACACCAATAAGCCGACAAGTGAAGACACTAGCAGAGGGAAGGCGGCATCAGCAGAGAGAGGAGCTCGCGGACAGAAGGCCATCAGAGGAGTCACTCAACTGAAACCAGCAAAGTTTCTTTGAAAAGATAAAATGGAAAAAAAGACGTAAATATATATCCAAAGTCAGAAATCAAAGCATGGACACTGCAAAT